GTAGAGTGAATTTCCTATTGGGTATTATTCATAACGTTATACATAATATAAATTATACATTATAAACCGGTTGGTTCGAGCCCTGAATGCTGATTCACTGAAAGCCATGGTGTATCAGACCATATACCACGGTATGACACAAATAATATTTTTACTGTTCTAATTACATTGGGAACCAGTTTATAATAGCAATAAGGCACCTCGGGGGGCTTGTGGTATATATAATATATACCACACCTCCTTGGGCCTTATTGCTTAATTATAACACCTCCATTGTAACCATTCTGTAATAGACCTACTTACTGTCATAATGTTTGTCCATGATAAGGCTTATTTAGTTTGAAAAATAAAGTAGGCCTACCACATACCCAACAATTTGCAGGTGCAGCCAGGGGTTAAAGATTATAGTCATTAGATACTACTATAATATGAATAGGTTGTCCCTAATGTAAAGAGCTTTGTGATTTCTGTCTGTAAATGAAAAGCTCCCAAATAAAATGTACTATTGTTATTATTTAATATATATTTTCATCCTGTCTTTTAAACTATGCCGCCATCCCATTTGATGTGTATATATAGATATGCTGAATAATCCTGAGCCTCGGCTGCGTTCAGCAGGACACAACGTTGGCCAATGTTCAGATAGAAATGTGTTATGTAGAACAAACATGCCTCTCTGACATATAGAATAAGGAATCACGTTTCATGGCATTTCTATCCGTAACGTTCCACAAGGTTTGCATACTGAACCCGAGCCTGATCCCTGTCTCCCCTGTCTACAGGTGTATGTAACAGAGAGTGGGTCAGGTCAGGGATGCTGCAGCATCGGAGGGAATATGACTCTCATGGCCTGTTTTCATCTGGAGAGACCTCCGACAATGACTGTGAGGTAACAGAATGTGGGTGTGTGTGTTTGTGTGTGTGTCTTTGTCTGTTTGAGCAGTATAACCCACACTGACTCAACCGTAATCATGTGAGTGCATGAGGGCACGAGATAGGACATTTACCATGCTGTGTGTGGGTGTGTGTATGCATGTGTCACAGTGTGTGTGTGTGTGTGTGTGTGTGTGACATTGATCATTAGGGCCCCACTGTTAGGTTTGTACTCTACACAGCATGAAGCATAATTTGTAACCTCTGCTGCTCTGCTGCAGTCCAATTAGAGATGGGCTGATGGATCCAGATAAATCATTACTACTTTCTGCTCTCTCTCTCTCTCTCTCTCTCTCTCTCTCTCTCTTACTGTTTCTCTCTCTGCAGATAGGGGCGAGTTGTGGAGAGGTTGGCGTAGTGTGTTTGTGTGAGACTGGACCCTGCACACTGTACTCTGAAGCACATACACAGACACCGGTGAGAAGTGATGTTATATAATATTATTTTTACATCCAAGGGAAGATACAGAGGCATCAATACCTAGACAATTTTAAGGGAGTAAAAGAAA